GAGTGATACTTTAATAGGAAGCTCAAAAGGACATTGCTTAAAGTTAAATGAAAACGTAACAATAAATTGTAATTTTTATTTTTCCGGCTGTTATATACAGTATAACAGAGGGAAAGTATACCAGTGTGGGGGACGATTTTATTCACACGTTTATTGGACAAAAAACACAGCAGTTATTAAGCTTCAAAGTGGGTGAAGAAAAGCGTATCTCCTCACCTCTGTCATATATAACAGCAGGGAAAATAAAAAATAAATATAGAAAATTCAACTGACAAAACAAAATCTATTCATAATCTCTTGATAACATTTTACTATACTTAATTGGATCATAATATATATATATTAATCTTGTTAATGGCAGTAATGGCATGAGTCGAAATTAATATCACTGTCTATAGTTAATTATACATTAATGAAAGACTAGATCTAATATCGTGTGAACGTTTAACAATTGAATATTCATAATCAAACATTCAAATAATCACAAATGAAACCTATTTCGAATATTTGCAAAATCTTTGTTAAGATGAAAGATCTCATTTAATTAGAAAGTTTAATTACCCTAAAAATAGTTTCCTCCATACAGCCTGCTAATGGAAAGATTTAGAATGAAGATAACACACCGATAACATGTTTACAGACAGTGGCGCGTTATCCTATGGTTAAAAAGGGCAATTTCCTGGGGCCACCTTCAACAGGGGCCAAAACCAATCTTTATAAGAAAACATTTCTCCGAAGACAAATGTCTGAAGTCAACAGTATACATGGGGCCTCCTAATTCAAATTCGCCTGGCCTCCCCAAGAAGCTATAACGTGCCACTTTGTTCACTTTTTTTTAGGCCTCAACTCAAGTTTTTAGAGGTAGGCCTATTACAGAACAGATATGTTAGAAAAGAACGGTAAGATCAGTCCTTTAACTATTCCTCCTCCTGTTTTTCCTATTTGGAATATATAGAGTCATTCTTAAAATAATTACTTTCGATTATTTGAAATTTAATAGCATTCCAAACTTAGTTGGTCATTAATAGTTTGCTTCGGGCTTTTGAGAGTAGTGGATTGCAAACCAAATGAAATATTAAATAATTTTGATGAAAGTAATGCTTTGAATGAAACTTTTCCTTTCATATTCTAAAACTATAGAAAATAAAATACTCCCCGAGGCTGGAATTTAATCAAATCTTAGATACAGGTAGATTAATTAACTGGATGACTATTGTTGAAAGATTCCGTAGAGATGATAATATCTGTTCAAATTAAGAGTTTCATTTGAAGTTTCATTAAAAGTTAATCTTAGATACACTAATGAAGTGAGTTGAGATGCATTCGACAGAACTGGGATTGTTACAAGACTAACAACCATTAGAAAAACGCATAAAATGAATTGCTGATCTAGACTTTAAATTCGTATAATACTAATTTAACATAGACAGTACAAGTTGGACCTCATTTATCATATCTCATCCATGCTAGTCGATGACATTAGTGATCAGGCCCGTTCGTAATAATGTTGATACCGCGCGTTACATACTGTAGTATATATAGCATATGTGGGGCCAAAATTAATTTCAATTTTAAAAAATTTTTCTTCTGTTTTGTTTGTATTTAGGCCTATTTATTTTCTTATCGCTCAGCTAGAATTCGAAGTCGATCACAAGCGGATCAGCCGAAGAACTGAGCAATCAACAGAGAAATATTAGCCGAACCACGAGGCAATTATCCGAACCGATCTTCACATGCCAGTTAATTGAGAGGAAATAAAAAGCAAAGTACGGCAGGCCCGAAAAAAGAAGAAAGAAAGGGGAGAAGCGAAGGAATGAAGAAATAGAAGAGACGTTCTGAGCTTGGATTTCTGTTCGTCTTCAGAGTAATGTTGTATAACGAAAACCAACAGTTGCTTAAAGTTTACTATTGTAAATTGTCCTTTCACATAATTATCAAATGTTTCTTTTATTATTAAACTGTTTATAGCTCTCTTCATCAAATTCCACACACAAATATCGGTTATATAACGATGGATAAAGAACAAATTGCATTGATAGGAGAAATAGAAAACATTTCATTGTTATCATTATACAAAGTTTAAAAATAGAATATATAATAGTAAATATGATAGTCAGATTACGATATATAACAATCAAAGTATAGTAGCAGTATACAGTATCCTCCAATATTTGTGAAAATTTTCTTTACGCAATACTTTCTGTATACTGATACTATACTTTGATTGTTATATATCTTAATTCATGCAGTTGCAGTTGTGGTACACATTTTAACTTAATTAAAAACGACAGGAAATATAAAACATTTATCAATTTATTAATCAGTTTTTATTATTTAAATTCCAATAAAATTATTCAAATTATTTTAAACTATGATACGTTTAAAACGTGTCAAGATAGTAAATTATACAATTCATTAATATCCAAAACAGTATACTTATTAAAATTTCTTTAAAATATATTTTTAAAATTAACATTAATTTGATAAATAAAGTGAACATGAACATGATGAATGTCACATAATCTACAAATTACTTTTTCTACTTTTTAAGTGAATATTAAGGTTCATAAAATACTCGTTAAGGATTGCATCTGTAATTGGGACAAAGTGCAAGGGTTGTGATTCATTTGTAGATTTATCATACAGAAATTCTGCTCCATACTCTTCGTAAAAATGTCAATATTTCAACATTTGGTTATCAATTAGACTTCATTAAAAATGTATTAAAGAAAAATTATNCAGTTTTCAATAAAAAGTCTGAAGTATGAGGATTTCAATCCAAGAAAAGAGTATAACAAGTGCATTAATATAATATGTGCATTAATGACAAGGTTCAGTTTTTTCAAGGACTCAACTAGGGTATTTAGTACCCTATAATTTATAACAACCACATCTCTTTACAAGCAGTCTGTAAAGAGATAGGTTTGCTATTAATTAATTTAATGATGTCAGCATAAGCAATGACCTTGGAATGTATACCAGTAAAACATTTGTTAACATATGCAATAAAAAAATAGAGAGGAACTCTATTGTATGCACAAAGAGGAGCAAAATAAATAAAAGAAAAATCAGCAGCGAATGATGAATGAGTTCTGTTTTATTCTTGAAATTCATAGAACATGCTTCAAACTCCTTCAAAATGAACTTGAAACTTCAATTTAATATTAAAATATTGACAAAAAGAAAATTCAAAGAGCTAAATTGGTATGAATTTGTATAGTTTTAAAACTTTTCTAGTTAAAATGTTTTTTAATAAATGCATTAAATAAGACAAACACCAATATATGACAATTAATATTAATACAATCATCGCACCAAATTAAACCTTATCATGTGTAAATGTAGCATCAAAATATAGAGATTTTATTAATAAATATATATTATTTACACTGTTAGAAAATATCCATAATTATTTTACTGGCTATTATAAATAATCCACCAAGATTGAGGGTATAATTAACTTTACAACAACAGATTTTACTTGTTTATTTATTTTACATAAGGGTTTGTTAGTAATAACAATTAAAACTATGTTTTATTGTCAGTCTAAAAATGGATTTTATTGTATAAAATTATAATTAAAACCTTGTAAAATTACTCTTAAAGTATGTTTTCTGCATTCAGGAAGTTATATTAATCTGCTTCTATCATTTCTTTATCTTCACTTAATGATGTATGAACTTTACAATAACAAAATTTCATAAGATTCGGTTTAATTAATAACGCTTATATTAATATAATTGAAACTAGTTTATGATATATGAATACAGCAGAAAGATATTTAGACACAAGATTATAATATGATATAATATATTGAGACGTAATTCTACCATATGGTATACAGTATATACAAATACGTATATATAATTATACTACATGTATATATAGGGAAGAGAAAATTATCATATAATATATATAAAGAACTCATTATTTCATGCAATCATACGAGTCAAATGCTATTAAATTCTTTTTAAAAGAGATTTCTGCTAATTATATGTTAAGTACTTAAGAACTAAAATTAATTCCAAATAAATAATTCATCCTTAATCTTCTTCGTTATGTATAGTGGTTAAAAACTAATTTAACTATTGTTAGAAGTAAGGTCTTTAAATCAGGACATTCCTATAAATTATATTTGATATCTAGAATAAAAATAAACTAATTTAAATTATCTAATTGTGTTTTAATTCGACTCTGTTCCAATTATCAAAACAGCAAAATCAATCAATTTGAATAAATCATTTTTTTTAAAATTTTAATAAAAAAATAATAATCTGTGGAATTAATGTAGTAAAAGACCTGAATTATTTATTGTTTATATATTGTTTCCACAGATATTTTTACAGATATTACTGTATATCTATTAAATTTTTATATATTTAATTAAATGCATATAATATGTATACAATATAACACAACGTGTTACATACAATAAATATTTGATTTGCTTTTTATATATATGCATTACCATTCGTATCAAGTTTACACGAATGTTTTTTTACACGAGATAAATCAATTTAAATGCAACTTTAGCTAAATTAATGTTTAAATTTAAGATTAAATCATTTATTTGCGGTTTATTTTGCAATCAAAACGTTTCTAAGTTTATATTAATGTTAATATCATGTTTTCTAGCATTATAATTTGAGATATTAAGGCACACGTTAACGATTTCATTAACAGAGATAATTGTATTTGGTTCGAAAGATTAAGACTGTCTAAAAACTTAGAAAAGATTAAAATTCGATAAAGTTTTAAATGAAAAAGGAAACTCTTAAATGAAAATAACAATTTTGTTTTTCGTTTTAAGACAGAAGTCTCATGTTCAGTACCGTTTTTACGCTTTGGTAAATGAGGCACTCGCATGGTGCTCTCAGTTTGAAGTCCCGAAATTAACTAAATAATTAATTTTTAGTACTATTAAAACCTTTCAACTTTTCTGAAAGATTTTAATAAAAAACAAGCAAGTTCATCAGCAGATCTAGGGCTCTTAAACTTACAAAATCGGCAATGGTCGTCCCATTCTTCATGAGCGCCCATTGCTTCCCTAATTGGTGCCAATCTACTATGGGCGTCCTCAGAGGGAGCAAATGAGGCATTTACCCCTAAGATAGAGTAAAACATTCCTCAAATTATAATCATAAAAGTGATTCAGGTGTTTAACCTCACACTCTCCACCATGAGATATCCAAGCTTTATCCTCTTGGATAATTTTCCTGGATTTCATGCCTCGCACTAATCAGAGTTAGTTTTATAAGAAATTACAAAGTGGTCTAAGTATACTCAAAGTATACGTCCTACTAAATTAGTTATTTCATCACTCTTCATCTTAAATTATTAATTTTTAAATAACAAGTTAAAATTTAAAGTATTATGAAAGCAAAGAACAACCTCTTCATTAATCTTTATTCAATGTTACCGTGACGAATGAATCTAGCATTACAGTAAATTCAGTTTAAAAAGTCCTACTAATTATTATGCATTCAGTATAAAGCTATCGATTAAAGTATTATCCCAAACATCCTAAATATCAGGAAAAGAGAAATTGATAATGAGATAAATTTATGTTAAAGATTTGTTTAATAAAGAGAAGATAAGAGTATTTACGTTATACAAGAATGCTTTTCACTGTTATTATATATAATAAATATTTAATTATTTATATTCATTTTAATTATATGTTTCAATATTTAATAAAAGTATATTAATATTCTTTTCATCTGGTAGCCTAATAGATATGTTGTTTATTGTTGACTCACGTTAAATTCTACAAAATAAGTACTTCTTCAAATCTAACGTAAAGAATAAGATTTTAAGTTCATATTATTTCTTGGTTTCTAAAACCAAGAGAACAACATACATTGTCGATTTGTATGAATGTTTATAACTGTTTACATGTTGAAAATTCATGCTTAAATTGACTTTTGCATATTTATTTCGGTGGCAAAAATCACTAAAATTCCATGAACCGAAATCAAATCTACGTTAAGAACGAGAAGACAAATCTGTTTATTTTCACGAAGAAGTGATGAAAGAGATTTTTCCTTACAATGTATCATAACATTAACGAGTATCCTCGGATTTTTTTCCTCTTTCTTAATTTCTTTTTCTTTTAAGTTGATGTTATTTGGTTTCTAACAAACTTCTCGGTCGTTTTCTTTTATCCTTTTCTGCACACAGTTTTCTACTTTTTTCCTTTTTTTTTCAGGATGCATTTGAAAGACTCGGAAAACGAGGATGGTAGAGATGCTTCTACAGTGATAACTTCTCTTCACTCTCAATTAAATTCTTAATTTCCAAGAAAATAAACAGTGATAAGATATTTTAGTCGGTCCTAATTAATGTTAAAGTTAAATAATAGTGAAAATAACAGATTTCTTTCCCTACCTAATTTTCTGTATATTATGGCTCATTTAAACAATTTTAATTTACAGAAAATATGGTTTTTTGTAATTAGTGAAAAGGGATAAGTAATAACTTACAAAGTATCCTTTTTCTAGCCTAAATTCCCTCTCCTTGCACATTCTTTCAAAACTAGTTGCAAAGATTAATGCAAATAAATTATAGTACAATTCAAGCATTAAAATCTTTCGTATCTTTATAAATACAATAAATTTTATTCCGTTTATATAATTATATAAAACGGTAATGTTCGGTTTGATATATTTTTTTTCAATTAATTTAAATTAGTTCCTAATACTTGTTAATGGAACCAAACCCATCCCATTTTCTATACAAACAAGGAATGCTTTTATCAAATAAATATTTAATTATAAAAGGAATTAATTATACTTTCCTATGTAATTTGTAGAAGTTAATGGATAAAAAGTAGCGAATATTTTCGAATAGAATAACTTTGAAACAACATAAAATCAGTTTTATATCCTTATTCATCCTATTAATACACTATAAAATTCATTACTCAGAACCAAAATATTCCACGTAGTAAAAAGATATTGGTAATAAATTATTCTTTTATTTATTTTCAAAATTGTCTCTTGTAATTGAAATTAATAATCAATCATTGTAACACGAGAATTTAATTATTTTATTATTATAGTATATAAAATTCTAAGCCAGATTTATTAAAGAATAACAAAAGAATTCCCTACTTTTGAATGAATAATTAATGTATGATGAGAGTAAGCACTTTCATTCAAAACTTTTCACTACTTTCTACCAAATGAGTGTTTATTAATTAATAATAATTTTATCTGTCAATTTTCTTTAAAACAAATTTTTCATTCTTATAAATATATGATATTTATAGTTAATTCATAATTATTTTTCAAAATTTAATTAATATTTAATTAATAATCAATAATTTTATAATATATAGCTACTTATTAGATATTTTATTTGACAAATAATGTGTTGTAATAATCGTTAACTTAAGCTGTTAATATAAGTTTAAATTTAAACATTCGTTAATTAAATTATACAGTAAAACTTGTACAAAACGGAACCTTTATAATGAAAAAAACCTCAGGTTTGTCTCTTTAAAATATTTTTTTATAATTAACTGAAAATATAACTTAAAAATAAGGTATATAAAAGCTTTAAAATGAAAATATTTAAAGCATAATTTTCTTATTTAAAAATTCAATTTTTATAACTTGAATACAAAAAATAAACATTACTTTTATACAAAAAAAATGTAACAGTTTAAGTTACATTTTATATAAAATATAAAAGTATAAAAAAAAAGTCTCAAATGTATAGAACCTTAGAATGTTGTAAAAAAAATGCCTTCTTACTTCAAATATTTTCAATATAAAATCATATTTATACCGAGTTGTGATATTCAAAATGTGAAAAATTTTATCACATAAAAATATTAAAGTTTAAATAAAATTGAGTAAAAGTGAAAAAGAAAATATTTGTAGAAAATAAATTGATGTTTCGAAAATATTCAACATTTTGCAAAACATTTAGATTACTTTCTACGATTAGAATATGTATAAAAATATTTTTAAATATATTTCTACGATAATTAAATTATTATTAAAATATTTCTTATATTTAATTTTATTTCAAAATAATTTTATTGAAAAAAAATAACTTCCTTTTATGTATTTCAAGCCTAATTAAAGCTTACTATAATTACAAAAACATGATTATTTTACGTGAATATTTTAGCTAAATTCGGTATAAATTATTTAAATAACTTCTATATTTTATTTCATTTTTTTAATTATAATTATATTGGCTTAATTAAGATATAAATTATATTATTTTATAAACTTTACAATTATTTATTCAAAGCTGTTTATCACATTTAATTATAATTATCTACAGTTTATTACCTTAATTTAATCATTGTAAATTAAAATTAATTTAAAGTATTCCTAATGCTAAATTTTATTAAATAACAATAATTTTATTGAAAATAATTCTATTTAAAATACATACAAATAAAGTTTTCTACAATTATAAAATATTATATTTTACTATAAATATATCTGGGCTTAATTAGAATCTAAATGTTATTCTTTTATAAACTTTATTGTTATTTGTTTAAAGTTGTTTATTACCTTTAATTATAGCATCCACTCTAGAGGATTCTTGTACTTTATCATGTTTTGACATTGAGTAATAAATAGAGTAATGCTTACACAAACTTTAATCAAACATATTTAAAGCTTTAGAACAAACTATGTTAATATATCTCTTGAGTATTTAAGATAACAATCACAATGCAACGGTTAATTAAGAGAGTATATTTTATTACAATACATTTTATACTGATTTCTATACAGTTAAATTAGTATCGGGTGAATCTAAACAATCAAATTTAATTTCACAATGATTACCCAAAGTCATCCACAAAACATCAGAATTCTACTAATTGTCAAACTATTTTGAATTACAATATAAAGAATATTGCATAAAATGATTCAAGTGATAAATATAATTTATGTAATTATGTACTAGAGCAGCAATATTTGATATTTTTGTATCATCCCTAAGATTTCCTCACAGAATGTTTCAGAAATTGGATTCTGGAAGAATTTTATTGGGCTGAAATTTTCACAGGGGAAGAACACAACTAAAATCGAGGGTTCGTAGATCCCATGTTGGGAGTTCTGTACATTTTTCTAATCCAACTCCCTCTTTTCTAATCAGAATTCATGGAAAGAATGAACACTTTTCTCTCGAATTCTATTGCTATCAAATTACCCACGACAGTCTATTGATTTCGAATTTGATCCACACAATTCTCTACTTTCACCGAATTTCGAGCAATAAGTAATCAATGTTGAGAATATTTTCGACTTAAACCTGTATTCAATAAATTTATAAACTTTAAAAAAAAGTGATATTAAATATAATCTCTTTAAGAAAATTAAAAGAGGATTTTTATTTGTTTAACATTAATTCATATTATTTATAAGCTGAAATTATATTTATATTTAACACATTATATATATGTTTGTCAATTAAATATATTCGCTGAATATTATTCTTTCAATTAATTACATTCACTTATTCTTGAAAATATTCTAAACAATATTTTCATGCATTTTTCAAAAATTACAAAAGTTATAAATAATTAAATATTATTATTTTAATATTACTTACGTGAAATATATTAAATGTATCCTAGAAAACTCGTATATCCTTTAAAGAATATATTTATTCTCTTTTATATTACACTGTGAATAACGAATAAATTAATTTATTCGTTATTACATTATATAAATTCAGATTATATTATCATCAAAGACATAATGTTGACAGTTTCGTTGATTTAATCTTAAAAATAATTGTATTAATTTACTTTTACGTAAAACCTCAATTTGTCGTTTACTCAATATTCTTCGACTCTTTTCAATGTAATTTATGTGACATTTATTTTACTATTTGCATATGTAGAACAGAAATTTCTTGAAGAAACATCGTTGGATCTCTAATAGCGTGTACATTGCTGATTACAAACGAGAGTATTTACTTTTTGGGACAAGAAACTATGTTAATGTTGTACCCTGTGGATCTAATAAACTTAATTCTATTTTGTCAGTTCTAAAATAATAGTAGCTTTGATTATTGTAAATTAAAGTGTTTAAAATAATAAATATAGAAATTTTTTTAATTTTAAATTTATCAACAGACTTAAAAGGAATTTTTATTAATAATTTTCATCTAAATATAATTTTAATAAAAAGTATAAAAATTATAAATTTATGTATGAAGTATTAAATGATTAATATAAAATAGAATACATACTCGAGAATATTTTCATAATTTATCATAAAGAAAACGATTTTAAGAATTTATAAATATATTTAAAATTAAAATATTTATATTTTAAATAAATATTAAATTATTTTAACAACGAAGCATCAACTTTTACGACTACATTTTCTGTGTTCAAATCCTCTTTTATCACGAATGTTTATTATTGTGTTATTAATGAAGATTAAAAAAATCTTTATTAACAAAATAATCTTTGCAATGAATTTGTGTCTATCATAAATTATAATTTTGCTAAATAATAATTAATAATAAAACTATTTATAGTACAGTGTTACCTCATACAGAAAACATCTCTTGCGTTACGGTCCAATTGGATAAAACCGCTTAATACTGATCGTGGGTTCGCGACTCTCCAACTGACTGTTAGTAACATCTAAATATGACTAGTTTTCCATAAAAGACCACTTGGGAGGCAGATCGCCCATATGTGTTACCGTATAAGTATAAACAAACAAACAATCTCGAGTGTTATACTTATGTTTTTAGTGCTTTTTGCTTCATATTTTGCTACGTTTTGTTATATAACACATATATATTAATTTAACACTGGCATTCAAAAAGAGTGTGGAAGCTATGAAGCCTGAGAGGAAGTTTATAGTATCGACGATTGAGATGAAAAAAAGTACTTATCGAGAGTGCGAAAGCGTTACTCGTGTTGCACCATTCTTAAGAATAAGGAAGAAATAAAAGCAGCAAGTGTTGCTGAATAGGAGCATTAACTTGTTCAATGACAATGTGATGGCTTATTTTAGGAACATCCAGAAAAGTCACCTACAACAGACTACATTGGAAAAATTCTCCTCTGTAGAAAGAAGGGAAAGCGAACCAAAAAACTCTTAACTAATAGTGCCAATATGTAGAAGCAGTTTCTATAAACACATCAAATAACTATATTTTTGATATTCTCCCTCTCTCTCTCTCACACTCACACATACATTATAAACAGTAAAGCTTTATCTTTCTCTCTACCAGCCATCAGTACACCTCACTAAGGTTCGGTGAATGCAATTCTCAATTTTTGACACACCATTTACGTATTTTATTTATCGTTTTCATGTTGTAATTTAGTATTTAGGACATTTAATTGTGTTATTTTACCATAAATTATACGTTTACTGTTTAAGTTCATCAAAATAGGAATTGTTTTAGATCTGGGAACAAATTAATTCAGTTTCCATTATTTCTAATGAGGAAAATTATTTATATTTTGAACAATTTTTAGTTCGAACTGTCTCCCAAAACGAATTAAATTCGAAGTACGAGACATTTCTGTATTTCTCTACGAATTATTATTATCTAAATTTGAAACTTAGCATTTCTTATATTTACTTTAACCTATATGATCAATTATAGCAATATCAGAATACCACGAGAGAAAAATCAGTGTTAGTTTTCTCTTGGTTCTGGCTGCATACGGTATTACATCTACCATTAATGTGTAGCCAATATGAATTGATAAGGTGCCCTTCAGACAATATACGGACAAGATTAAATCCAGGTGACATAAATATAGTATATATATATATATATATATATAGTATATAAATATAGTATATAGTATATAGCCATAGTAGACAAATTGCAGAACCGGTCGGTATTTCTAAAATTGGCTATTCATTTTTTTTAAATCCAATTGAAAAATTTCACATTAGAGAAAATCAGGAACATGAAACTAAGTTTATAAAAAAATATTTTTGTAAATAATGATAAGAATAATTTTTAAAGGAAATCTACCTAGCATCAAGTTAATAGTATATCCAGGGACCGAACTATCTAGTATAAAAGTATTTTTTAAAGACTGGATTTCAATTTTTCATTTTATTTGAAAATATTTAAAGCATTTCTTTTAAAATTTTTAATATAATNTAAATATAATTTATGTAATTATGTACTAGAGCAGCAATATTTGATATTTTTGTATCATCCCTAAGATTTCCTCACAGAATGTTTCAGAAATTGGATTCTGGAAGAATTTTATTGGGCTGAAATTTTCACAGGGGAAGAACACAACTAAAATCGAGGGTTCGTAGATCCCATGTTGGGAGTTCTGTACATTTTTCTAATCCAACTCCCTCTTTTCTAATCAGAATTCATGGAAAGAATGAACACTTTTCTCTCGAATTCTATTGCTATCAAATTACCCACGACAGTCTATTGATTTCGAATTTGATCCACACAATTCTCTACTTTCACCGAATTTCGAGCAATAAGTAATCAATGTTGAGAATATTTTCGACTTAAACCTGTATTCAATAAATTTATAAACTTTAAAAAAAAGTGATATTAAATATAATCTCTTTAAGAAAATTAAAAGAGGATTTTTATTTGTTTAACATTAATTCATATTATTTATAAGCTGAAATTATATTTATATTTAACACATTATATATATGTTTGTCAATTAAATATATTCGCTGAATATTATTCTTTCAATTAATTACATTCACTTATTCTTGAAAATATTCTAAACAATATTTTCATGCATTTTTCAAAAATTACAAAAGTTATAAATAATTAAATATTATTATTTTAATATTACTTACGTGAAATATATTAAATGTATCCTAGAAAACTCGTATATCCTTTAAAGAATATATTTATTCTCTTTTATATTACACTGTGAATAACGAATAAATTAATTTATTCGTTATTACATTATATAAATTCAGATTATATTATCATCAAAGACATAATGTTGACAGTTTCGTTGATTTAATCTTAAAAATAATTGTATTAATTTACTTTTACGTAAAACCTCAATTTGTCGTTTACTCAATATTCTTCGACTCTTTTCAATGTAATTTATGTGACATTTATTTTACTATTTGCATATGTAGAACAGAAATTTCTTGAAGAAACATCGTTGGATCTCTAATAGCGTGTACATTGCTGATTACAAACGAGAGTATTTACTTTTTGGGACAAGAAACTATGTTAATGTTGTACCCTGTGGATCTAATAAACTTAATTCTATTTTGTCAGTTCTAAAATAATAGTAGCTTTGATTATTGTAAATTAAAGTGTTTAAAATAATAAATATAGAAATTTTTTTAATTTTAAATTTATCAACAGACTTAAAAGGAATTTTTATTAATAATTTTCATCTAAATATAATTTTAATAAAAAGTATAAAAATTATAAATTTATGTATGAAGTATTAAATGATTAATATAAAATAGAATACATACTCGAGAATATTTTCATAATTTATCATAAAGAAAACGATTTTAAGAATTTATAAATATATTTAAAATTAAAATATTTATATTTTAAATAAATATTAAATTATTTTAACAACGAAGCATCAACTTTTACGACTACATTTTCTGTGTTCAAATCCTCTTTTATCACGAATGTTTATTATTGTGTTATTAATGAAGATTAAAAAAATCTTTATTAACAAAATAATCTTTGCAATGAATTTGTGTCTATCATAAATTATAATTTTGCTAAATAATAATTAATAATAAAACTATTTATAGTACAGTGTTACCTCATACAGAAAACATCTCTTGCGTTACGGTCCAATTGGATAAAACCGCTTAATACTGATCGTGGGTTCGCGACTCTCCAACTGACTGTTACTAACATCTAAATATGACTAGTTTTCCATAAAAGACCACTTGGGAGGCAGATCGCCCATATGTGTTACCGTATAAGTATAAACAAACAAACAATCTCGAGTGTTATACTTATGTTTTTAGTGCTTTTTGCTTCATATTTTGCTACGTTTTGTTATATAACACATATATATAAATTTAACACTGGCATTCAAAAAGAGTGTGGAAGCTATGAAGCCTGAGAGGATGTTTATAGTATCGACGATTGAGATGAAAAAAGTACTTATCGCGAGTGTAAAAGCGTTACTCGTGTTGCACCATTCTTAAGAATAAGGAAGAAATAAAAGCAGCAAGTGTTACTGAATAGGAGCATTAACTTGTTCAATGACAATGTGATGGCTTATTTTAGGAACATCCAGAAAAGTCACCTACAACAGACTACATTGGAAAAATTCTCCTCTGTAGAAAGAAGGGAAAGCGAACCAAAAAACTCTTAACTAATAGTGCCAATATGTAGAAGCAGATTAAATTTTTATATATTTAAATGCATATAATATGTATACAACATAACACAACGTGTTACATACAATAAATATTTGATTTGCTTTTTATATATATGCATTACCATTCGTATCAAGTTTACACGAATGTTTTTTTACACGAGATAAATCAATTTAAATGCAACTTTAGCTAAATTAATGTTTAAATTTAAGATTAAATCATTTATTTGCGGTTTATTTTGCAATCAAAACGTTTCTAAGTTTATATTAATGTTAATATCATGTTTTCTAGCATTATAATTTGAGATATTAAGGCACACGTTAACGATTTCATTAACAGAGATAATTGTATTTGGTTCGAAAGATTAAGACTGTCTAAAAACTTAGAAAAGATTAAAATTCGATAAAGTTTTAAATGAAAAAGGAAACTCTTAAATGAAAATAACAATTTTGTTTTTCGTTTTAAGACAGAAGTCTCATTTTCAGTACCGTTTTTACGCTTTGGTAAATGAGGCACTCGCATGGTGCTCTCAGTTTGAAGTCCCGAAATTAACTAAATAATTAATTTTTAGTACTATTTAAACCTTTCAACTTTTCTGAAAGATTTTAATAAAAAACAAGCAAGTTCATCAGCAGATCTAGGGCTCTTAAACTTACAAAATCGGCAATGGTCGTCCCATTCTTCATGAGCGCCCATTGCTTCCCTAATTGGTGCCAATCTACTATGGGCGTCCTCAGAGGGAGCAAATGAGGCATTTACCCCTAAGATAGAGTAAAACATTCCGCAAATTATAATCGTAAAAGTGATTGAGGTGTTTAACCTCACACTCTCCACCATGAGATATCCAAGCTTTATCCTCTTGGATAATTTTCCTGGATTTCATGTCTCGCACTAATCAGAGTTAGTTTTATAAGAAATTACAAAGTGGTCTAAGTATACTCAAAGTATACGTCCTACTAAATTAGTTATTTCATCACTCTTCATCTTAAATTATTAATTTTTAAATAACAAGTTAAAATTTAAAGTATTATGAAAGCAAAGAACAACCTCTTCATTAATCTTTATTCAATGTTACCGTGACGAATGAATCTAGCATTACAGTAAATTCAGTTTAAAAAGTCCTACTAATTATTATGCATTCAGTATGAAGCTATCGATTAAAGTATTATCCCAAACATCCTAAATATCAGGAAAAGAGAAATTGATAATGAGATAAATTTATGTTAAAGATTTGTTTAATAAAGAGAAGATAAGAGTATTTACGTTATACAAGAATGCTTTTCACTGTTATTATATATAATAAATATTTAATTATTTATATTCATTTTAATTATATGTTTCAATATTTAATAAAAGTATATTAATATTCTTTTCATCTGGTAGCCTAATAGATANAGAACCTTAGAATGTTGTAAAAAAAATGCCTTCTTACTTCAAATATTTTCAATATAAAATCATATTTATACCGAGTTGTGATATTCAAAATGTGAAAAATTTTATCACATAAAAATATTAAAGTTTAAATAAAATTGAGTAAAAGTGAAAAAGAAAATATTTGTAGAAAATAAATTGATGTTTCGAAAATATTCAACATTTTGCAAAACATTTAGATTACTTTCTACGATTAGAATATGTATAAAAATATTTTTAAATATATTTCTACGATAATTAAATTATTATTAAAATATTTCTTATATTTAATTTTATTTCAAAATAATTTTATTGAAAAAAAATAACTTCCTTTTATGTATTTCAAGCCTAATTAAAGCTTACTATAATTACAAAAACATGATTATTTTACGTGAATATTTTAGCTAAATTCGGTATAAATTATTTAAATAACTTCTATATTTTATTTCATTTTTTTAATTATAATTATATTGGCTTAATTAAGATATAAATTATATTATTTTATAAACTTTACAATTATTTATTCAAAGCTGTTTATCACATTTAATTATAATTATCTACAGTTTATTACCTTAATTTAATCATTGTAAATTAAAATTAATTTAAAGTATTCCTAATGCTAAATTTTATTAAATAACAATAATTTTATTGAAAATAATTCTATTTAAAATACATACAAATAAAGTTTTCTACAATTATAAAATATTATATTTTACTATAAATATATCTGGGCTTAATTAGAATCTAAATGTTATTCTTTTATAAACTTTATTGTTATTTGTTTAAAGTTGTTTATTACCTTTAATTATAGCATCCACTCTAGAGGATTCTTGTACTTTATCATGTTTTGACATTGAGTAATAAATAGAGTAATGCTTACACAAACTTTAATCAAACATATTTAAAGCTTTAGAACAAACTATGTTAATATATCTCTTGAGTATTTAAGATAACAATCACAATGCAACGGTTAATTAAGAGAGTATATTTTATTACAATACATTTTATACTGATTTCTATACAGTTAAATTAGTATCGGGTGAATCTAAACAATCAAATTTAATTTCACAATGATTACCCAAAGTCATCCACAAAACATCAGAATTCTACTAATTGTCAAACTATTTTGAATTACAATATAAAGAATATTGCATAAAATGATTCAAGTGATAAATATAATTTATGTAATTATGTACTAGAGCAGCAATATTTGATATTTTTGTATCATCCCTAAGATTTCCTCACAGAATGTTTCAGAAATTGGATTCTGGAAGAATTTTATTGGGCTGAAATTTTCACAGGGGAAGAACACAACTAAAATCGAGGGTTCGTAGATCCCATGTTGGGAGTTCTGTACATTTTTCTAATCCAACTCCCTCTTTTCTAATCAGAATTCATGGAAAGAATGAACACTTTTCTCTCGAATTCTATTGCTATCAAATTACCCACGACAGTCTATTGATTTCGAATTTGATCCACACAATTCTCTACTTTCACCGAATTTCGAGCAATAAGTAATCAATGTTGAGAATATTTTCGACTTAAACCTGTATTCAATAAATTTATAAACTTTAAAAAAAAGTGATATTAAATATAATCTCTTTAAGAAAATTAAAAGAGGATTTTTATTTGTTTAACATTAATTCATATTATTTATAAGCTGAAATTATATTTATATTTAACACATTATATATATGTTTGTCAATTAAATATATTCGCTGAATATTATTCTTTCAATTAATTACATTCACTTATTCTTGAAAATATTCTAAACAATATTTTCATGCATTTTTCAAAAATTACAAAAGTTATAAATAATTAAATATTATTATTTTAATATTACTTACGTGAAATATATTAAATGTATCCTAGAAAACTCGTATATCCTTTAAAGAATATATTTATTCTCTTTTATATTACACTGTGAATAACGAATAAATTAATTTATTCGTTATTACATTATATAAATTCAGATTATATTATCATCAAAGACATAATGTTGACAGTTTCGTTGATTTAATCTTAAAAATAATTGTATTAATTTACTTTTACGTAAAACCTCAATTTGTCGTTTACTCAATATTCTTCGACTCTTTTCAATGTAATTTATGTGACATTTATTTTACTATTTGCATATGTAGAACAGAAATTTCTTGAAGAAACATCGTTGGATCTCTAATAGCGTGTACATTGCTGATTACAAACGAGAGTATTTACTTTTTGGGACAAGAAACTATGTTAATGTTGTACCCTGTGGATCTAATAAACTTAATTCTATTTTGTCAGTTCTAAAATAATAGTAGCTTTGATTATTGTAAATTAAAGTGTTTAAAATAATAAATATAGAAATTTTTTTAATTTTAAATTTATCAACAGACTTAAAAGGAATTTTTATTAATAATTTTCATCTAAATATAATTTTAATAAAAAGTATAAAAATTATAAATTTATGTATGAAGTATTAAATGATTAATATAAAATAGAATACATACTCGAGAATATTTTCATAATTTATCATAAAGAAAACGATTTTAAGAATTTATAAATATATTTAAAATTAAAATATTTATATTTTAAATAAATATTAAATTATTTTAACAACGAAGCATCAACTTTTACGACTACATTTTCTGTGTTCAAATCCTCTTTTATCACGAATGTTTATTATTGTGTTATTAATGAAGATTAAAAAAATCTTTATTAACAAAATAATCTTTGCAATGAATTTGTGTCTATCATAAATTATAATTTTGCTAAATAATAATTAATAATAAAACTATTTATAGTACAGTGTTACCTCATACAGAAAACATCTCTTGCGTTACGGTCCAATTGGATAAAACCGCTTAATACTGATCGTGGGTTCGCGACTCTCCAACTGACTGTTAGTAACATCTAAATATGACTAGTTTTCCATAAAAGACCACTTGGGAGGCAGATCGCCCATATGTGTTACCGTATAAGTATAAACAAACAAACAATCTCGAGTGTTATACTTATGTTTTTAGTGCTTTTTGCTTCATATTTTGCTACGTTTTGTTATATAACACATATATATTAATTTAACACTGGCATTCAAAAAGAGTGTGGAAGCTATGAAGCCTGAGAGGAAGTTTATAGTATCGACGATTGAGATGAAAAAAAGTACTTATCGAGAGTTAAATTATATTCTTTTATAAACTTTATTGTTATTTGTTTAAAGTTGTTTATTACCTTTAATTATAGCATCCACTCTAGAGGATTCTTGTACTTTATCATGTTTTGACATTGAGTAATAAATAGAGTAATGCTTACACAAACTTTAATCAAACATATTTAAAGCTTTAGAACAAACTATGTTAATATATCTCTTGAGTATTTAAGATAACAATCACAATGCAACGGTTAATTAAGAGAGTATATTTTATTACAATACATTTTATACTGATTTCTATACAGTTAAATTAGTATCGGGTGAATCTAAACAATCAAATTTAATTTCACAATGATTACCCAAAGTCATCCACAAAACATCAGAATTCTACTAATTGTCAAACTATTTTGAATTACAATATAAAGAATATTGCATAAAATGATTCAAGTGATAAATATAATTTATGTAATTATGTACTAGAGCAGCAATATTTGATATTTTTGTATCATCCCTAAGATTTCCTCACAGAATGTTTCAGAAATTGGATTCTGGAAGAATTTTATTGGGCTGAAATTTTCACAGGGGAAGAACACAACTAAAATCGAGGGTTCGTAGATCCCATGTTGGGAGTTCTGTACATTTTTCTAATCCAACTCCCTCTTTTCTAATCAGAATTCATGGAAAGAATGAACACTTTTCTCTCGAATTCTATTGCTATCAAATTACCCACGACAGTCTATTGATTTCGAATTTGATCCACACAATTCTCTACTTTCACCGAATTTCGAGCAATAAGTAATCAATGTTGAGAATATTTTCGACTTAAACCTGTATTCAATAAATTTATAAACTTTAAAAAAAAGTGATATTAAATATAATCTCTTTAAGAAAATTAAAAGAGGATTTTTATTTGTTTAACATTAATTCATATTATTTATAAGCTGAAATTATATTTATATTTAACACATTATATATATGTTTGTCAATTAAATATATTCGCTGAATATTATTCTTTCAATTAATTACATTCACTTATTCTTGAAAATATTCTAAACAATATTTTCATGCATTTTTCAAAAATTACAAAAGTTATAAATAATTAAATATTATTATTTTAATATTACTTACGTGAAATATATTAAATGTATCCTAGAAAACTCGTATATCCTTTAAAGAATATATTTATTCTCTTTTATATTACACTGTGAATAACGAATAAATTAATTTATTCGTTATTACATTATATAAATTCAGATTATATTATCATCAAAGACATAATGTTGACAGTTTCGTTGATTTAATCTTAAAAATAATTGTATTAATTTACTTTTACGTAAAAC